AGCATTCTATAAGTCTAAAAGTTGGCAGAGAGCAGCTGAGAAATGGCCTTAGGAAGCAGCCTTGAAGATGTTTGACTCCGTTCAGTTTAACCACTAGTGAATGGGTGTCACAGAGAGCAATGGTGTGACCTTGTATGTATATCTGCATGGAGGTATATTTGGTGCTATTTCTTCCTTCATGAACTGGATTTGAAATTGGAGCTATCCACAGGCCTGTTTCCTGTCATCATTGACTTTGGAGCTTGGTGGAATTTTTAAACTTGAAAATAGGAAGATCTCCAGGCCCTCCGGTTGGTCATGATGAGAAGGAATGAAAGGGAAGAGAGGAAAAGCAAGAAGGGGCAGAATGAATGCACGCAAAAAGGTTGAATGCATGAGCGAGACTGCTATTGCCCCATGTGCTCCTTCTGATGAACATCTAATTGGCTCTGGAAGGAAGGAACTCTAATGAGGTTCTCTAACTCTTGAGTACCTTCCATTTTCTCTCCAAGGCTTAAGAATCAGAGTGTCAGTCTTGTTAATGCTTCAGTTGGGACCACTCTCACAACGTACTTAAAGACTTGGTTGTGTTGTTTAAACCATGAGAGGGCAGTTCCTCGGAGTTAGGTGGCCAAACCACACCATGTTGTTGATTGTCAGGGCAAAATCAGGGCTAAGTTAGAAAGTGGAGGTTAGGTCCAAATATGCTAGCAAGGAAGAGCTTTTCCCAAAGATGTTGGGATTGGGAGATTGGAGACAGGGCTTAAGAACAGCTTGCCTGGAATGGCATACAGTCTCCTGCTTGAGCAGGGGGTTGGACTAGAAGACCTCCAAGATCCCGTCCAATTCTGTTATTCTGTTACTCTATTAGGAATCGGATGCAATAGCTCACGTGGCTGGTTTCATGGTGGCACACGACGTGAGTGCCCGAGACTGGCAGATGAGGAACGGGAAGCAATGGCTGCTAGGGAAGACTTTTGACACCTTTTGCCCGCTGGGCCCAGCTCTTGTAACCAAGGACTCCGTGTCAGGTTTGGAAGCTGCAAGTCCCTCTTCTGACTTTCTTTGAAGGCCTCCTTGCTTTGCAAACCAGAGCAGAAGATAAGTGGTGGGGCTGCATTTCCTCTAAAGCCGGAGTGTGTGTATGTGTGTGTGTGTGTGTGTGTCTCCAGACTTTGCACATTTTAAGACTTGTGGACTTCAACTTCCATGGCTGGCTCGGCAATTCTGAGAGTTGAAGTCCACAAGTCTTAAACGATGCCAAGTTTGAAGACCCCTGCTCTAAAGCAAGCAAACAGCTTCCTTTTAATCTTATGGCACTACTCTCTCCTTTCCACGCAGACCCTCACAATTTGGGCATCCGCTGCCGAGTGAACGGCGAACTCGTCCAGAACGGCAGCACCAACCAGATGATCTTCAAAACGGAGGCTCTTGTCGCATGGGTGTCCCAGTGAGTGCTGCCCTGGGGATGCCAGGCTTAGAATACTGCATCCAGTTCTGGTTCCTGTGATACAAAAATCATGCTGAGGCTCTAGAAGGAGTGCAGAGAAGAACAACAAAGACGATTAAAGGACTGGAGCTTAAACCATATGATGAATGGTTGTGGAAACCGGGCATATCCAGTCTTAATAAAAAAAAAAAAGGACTAGGGCCGACACGATAACAGTCTTCCAATATTTGAGGGGCTGTGACAAAGAAGAGGGCTTGACCTATTCTCCAGAACACTTGAGGGCAGGTCAAGAAGCAATGGGTGTTAAAGAGAGATCCAGTCTGGAACTAAGGAGAAGTGAGAACAGTTGATCAGTGGAAAGGCGTGCTTCCAGAAATTGTGGGTGCTCCCATCACTGGAGGTTTTCAAAAATAGACTGCACAGCTGATCAGAGTGGCATAAGATCTTGAGGAGGGGTTTGACTAGAAGACCTCCAAGGTCCCTTCCAGCCCTATAGTTTTATGTTCTAGCTCACCTCTCTTGTCCAGGTGTGTCACTAACTCTCATCAGGCTGCTCTTAATCTGTTAATTACTGTGTTTAATGTTCTTTGCAGGTTTGTCACGTTGTACCCAGGAGATGTCTTCCTGACTGGGACACCACCAGGGGTGGGATTTTTCCGGAAGCCACCCATTTTCCTCAAGGTGACTTCTGTTCTTAGTTCATTATAGATTCTGATTTTCTGCCCTTTGGGGGGGGGGAGTCATTTTGCATATAATCACTTCCAGCCTTCCTGCATTTTTGCCCCCTGTAACACCAGTAATCCATTGCTCTTTTCTGAGCACAAAAGGGCACATTAATTGTCGTCGTTTCAATCTCCATAATCAAGTCCTGCAGGCGTTATAAGTCAACCCAACTGCAGGACTCCAGGCTGTGAAAGACCATTTTGGAAAATGCGCCCAGGAATTCAGCTGAAATATCTTTGATTTTCCAACTGCTTTACTCTCTCTTGCATGCAATGCCTCTATTGACACAGCCCTATTTTAGAAGGGCAGACAGCACCCCTAAATTGGCAGTTCTTAACCAGGAAATGTAGCCCAAAGGCGGTTGATTTTCAGGACAAACTTTAGCATAGTATTAACTTGTGTGTTCTAAGACACACTGGACAGAGTTTGAATTTTGTGTTCTGAAGTTCAGCACATTTGGAGAGAGAGTTTGAGGCAGGTGAAGTTTGAAATTTGCTCCTTCCTGGGAGCCTTACCTGTTCTTAGATAACTCGCTTAGGAAAAGGCCTACTGTAATCCTGTTGTCCCAACAGAGAGGAGATGAAGTACAGTGTGAAATTGATGAGCTGGGAACCATCTGCAACAAAGTGCTGTGAAGGTTTTCCTGCGGTGGCCCTCGACAAAACGATCGGCTGGAGTTAGAATGCACAAGTGCCTTCCTGGATTCTAATCACAAGCATAAATAAAGAAGTTCTTAAAATGCTCGAGATTACATCTTCAGGAATTATTTCTGCCAAACATCGCAGTGAAGCCAAAATGCAGAAGCCACATGCAATTTCTGGGCATCTCAGTTGAAAAAGGCAACATGGGTGAATGGTGCCCTTGAGTGAGACCCGTGCAAATTTACACCAGAGCAAGATGGAAATGTGGCACTGTATGACGGACTGATGTTGGTACACGTATCTCCTTTATTACTTCAAGGTTCTCCAGATGGTTAATTGAGAATAAAGTGATTTTTGACAAACTGAGATTGGGATCTAAATTGTTTTAAAAGAGGCTGTTTGGTCTAGTGGTGAAAGCATCAGGAATTAGGCTGTGAATTCTAGTTCCTCCATAGGCATGAAAGTGACTGGGTGACTTTGGGCCAATCAACAGAGACTCTGAGTTCTAGTCCTGCCTTAGGCATGAAAACTGGCTGGGTGACCTTGGGCCACTCTCTCTCTCAGCCCAACCCACCTTTAATCTTTATTATATTTATTTATTTATTTATTTATTTATCAAACTTATATGCCGCCCTTCTCCCCACAGGACTCAGGGCGGCTCACAGCATATTAAAACAGTACAGAGCACTATCCCCAATAAAAACCAATTAAAAACAAATATTTACCGCTGTGTCATATTAAAATAATAATTAAAATTGTCCCTATTTAAAATTCTCCCTAGGCCAGAC